AAATGATTCATGGCGGCGCAAATGGTGGTAGCGTGAGCGTAAATATGCACTGAGCTGACAGCAGCGGGACTGTAGCAGTACGTGTTGATTAAATTCTGGTTGGGATAATTTAATTAACGGCGCCGCAACTCTGCTGTTGCAATAGTGTGACCCTAATCCGAGCTAGCCGGGGAACGCGGCACGTCTAAGTGTTGTCCAGGCCAATACCAACCATACTCCAGGTCTGCCCCACCTATCGATCCTTTCACCGTACTGGGGAGAGATAACAAATCACATGCTACATACCATCCTAATCTTTGTCATTCCACGCATTCACAGCGGTGGCAAGTGGCACGTGACTCCGCCGCTAACAAACGCTGCACACCTGGACGGATTCCACCGGCGGCACTCTCACACTCTCACACTCACTCACTCACATACCGCGCTAGATCGACCCGCGGCGCGTGCCCGGCACGGGGGTGCTGCAGCCTGCAGGGAAAAGGACAGGGGGGGCATTCTACGATAGATCGTACCACTTTTTTCCAATTTGACACCCTCATCTCTCGGAATTTGACGAGAATTGGTCTCAGGGGTAATCAGGGGCTCTGAATCCACCTGTAACAATTTCAGGCTTATGAGATAAGTATTTTTTTGAGTTATGGTGTATAACATTTTTTGGATCTTGCTTTGCAGCGCTAAGTTTGGCGGGCTGTAACTCTAAGACGGATTATTCAAATGCCAAATGTTATATAACATTAAACTTGCAATGAAACAGAGATTAATATGTATTTTTGAAATTTCGAAAAATACGCTATTTTTTATATATGACATATCGAGTTTTCTTTCATTTGTATTTTTTGGACTTTGGGACCAATTTTTTTTGAATTTTTATTTCTTTAAAAAAATATTTGGCTCATTGTTAACAAATATGCAAAAAATTAGGAAGGTGTTCTTTCTATAAATGTATTTATTTTACGTCACGATAACGGTTTCAAATAGTGATTTCGGGAGGAGAGCTTACAAATGGCGTGGTAAAGCTGCCTAGTGACATCACGGGTTACTGAAATTTTAATTGAAGTCTGAGTCATCTGTAAAAAAAGTGAAAAGAGGGTTCATCCAACCCTCTTTCCTATAAGCGCAAGGGTGAAAAAGGCTGTTTGGTTCTGACATTGTTTTGGACGCCAACGACCATAGCTGTCCGAGATGAAAGTTACAGGACGCATACATGGGGTCTCACAACTTGTATATCTGGGAATTTTTAAGGTTACGTTCGGTCAGGTCGGTCACGTGACATCACTGTTATAAGTCAATGGGGAAATACAAAAACTGTTATTTTGGCGCCGGGAATGAGCTAAATCTATCCCACGTACATGGTATCGTGATTTCATGCACTTCTAGCAAAGTCCAATGCTTTTTTGGCATTGGTAACCTTGCGTGACGTCATTTATGACGTCACTAGGGTCGTACGAGTTTTTCGTCAATAACTCCCGATCAAATGGAGCTAGAGAGTCGGGAAAGCCACCAATGGACTTGGGAAGACCTTCCGAATCGAATGATATGCCATATGATACCCTTTGTCCAGCTTCGTGACCTGAGGGGCTCTGATCTGACCTTGATCCAAGGTCAACTACTTAAGTTGACCTCACCCTAGCAAAAAGTATACCATTCGATGCACCTGAGCTAGGCAAACACAATGATGCCAAAATCGCGGCTCTGCGGCCATTTTTTGCAAAGTTATTTACTAAAAACCGAACCCGTAACTTCAGTCACTTGACCTGACCTCAGACGCTACCGGTTAAATTGAGACCTTAAAATCGGGTACCAATCGCTGCGACTTGTTGCGGCACACACGCCCGTTTTTTCCGCGAGGCTCTAGCTCTATTAGAAGCGAAACGGCGTGCTGGGGTCGTATCAACCCCTCCGAAGCCCATTTTGTTTGCGGGAAAATGAGGATTTTATAGAAAGAACACCTTTCTAATTTTTTGCATGTCGATTTGCAATGACATGAAGTTTATTTTGAAAAAATAAAAATTTGAAAAATTTTGGTCCCAAAGGTCATTAGAGGCGAATGAAAAAAGATTAAGGTTTTTGCTCAACAATGAAAATGTTTCTTTGGAATTTTTAAATGGTAATATTAATTTTTTATTCATCGCAAGCTTAGTGTTGTTTACTGTTTGTTGGTAGCTTAACCCGTTCTTGAGTTATAGGCCATCAAACTCACCGTTACAAACCGAAGTTAGAACAATGTAATGCAATATAACTCAAAAAGTTTTGATCTGAGAAGTCTGATATTTTGCCAGGCGTCTTTGGGGCCTATGATTACCCCTAGGACGGATTTTCATTAAAATCTGAGAGATGAGGGTGACGGGCCTGGTACGATCTATCGTGGAATGCCCCAGGGGCGAAAGGAGGGGGCGAAAGGGCTCAGTATGCCGGGAGCGGGTACACCAGGCGGGAGACACTAGACAGCGTATGGGACATCGTGTGTTTTTAGTAGTTTGGTAGAGCCTCTGTCACAGCGTGTTTTCATCAGGATGTCGGTTGATGAACTAACCGAGCGAGGAAATTGTCTGAATTAATAACAGGGCGACAGATGATAAGTAAATTTTCTGACTGCAGTAACGTTGATACAACTTAGGACCTATCGCCGTTTTCTGAAACATTCGTACAAATGCGGCCACAAATCTGAAACATCGTAGTTATGACGCATACACCAAGCACAAGTGTCTGAGTGTCCAAAAGGCCACAAAAAGACGCGCGTCAGTCCGTGACCGATCGTCGTTTCTGTGTATCTACATACGATCGACAGTGATCTGATATGTCAGGTGTTCAGCAGAGTCATGTGCACTCCTTGCAGTCTGTGCAGTCTGGTGCGCATCAACCGAGACTCGTCAGCTCAGTGACGCTCACAAAACAGCTGTGTGGGCTTCTGCCGTCTCTAAGCCGTCGTGCTTACCGTGCTGCAGCGTAACATACGTACAGTCCACAGCAGAAGTAATGTGTGGTTTCAGTCATGGGTATGTTCTGCTTCTGAAGCTTAGGAACGATTAGCCAGACTACAATGAAACTTTGAATGTAGCTTACATGTATCGTCACCCTTGCAGCTGCAACTTCAGCTATTGACATCTTCTTTTCGATCACTCCGCATTAAACAATCGCCAGTCAAAGCCAACCGTTGAGATTGGTAAAACCCTACATTACTTTAGCGGTGGGCTGTACTTACCGGTATCGGTAAGTACGTACCGCATGTTTCGACCCATTCAGTTCGCATTTACCGTACCGTGCCGTACGGTACCGCATGCTCTCATCACCCGTCCTGGCCGGGCTGAGGGCTCGGCCAGTCCCCATCGATGCTGCCCCAAACACAATTATGATTTCATATCCAATTGAACTTTACGAGGAGCGAAATCAAGCAGATGTCAGGATTGAGTGGACACTTTTGAATTGTGAGGGTCACTGGCTAAACAGGCGCCGTTCAGGGGACATTGGTGGCGGTCTAGTGTTTGTAGCGCCGGGAAACGTGTAGTGGGGGGGGGGGCAGGTAGGGGCGCTAGAGGTCGGGGGGGGGGGGGCGGACGGAGGGTACCGGGAGCACTGAGGCAGCTGCCGGGAGCGGACAGAGTGGCAGAGGTTAGCTCTCTGTGCGGTCAGTCGGGCGGTCCCTCTGAGTCGGCAGCTGCCCGTCCCCCAGCCCCCTCCCCCGCGCCGTGACAGGTGTGACGGTCGGGCGGAGCGTCACGGCCCGTGACGCGGCCGCCGTGACGACTGCGCGCGCGCCCGATTATTGGACTCATCACGAGCGTCCCGTAATGGTGATGGATCACTGGCGATTGGTCGGCCGAGGATGACCGCTGTTTTTACAGCCCCGCTCTGCCATTAAAACTCGGCGGGATGTTAATATTTCAGTGCGGCACAGGTGATGCGGTCGCTCTGCTCGCACGGGATGCGCTATGATAGAGGCGGGGCCGCCAAAAACGGCCGCTCGTGCTGCACTGACTCAACGCGCGCCCGTTTTTGAAATCGCACATGTGTGCGAGCCGACCAGTTGGTGTTGCTCGGTGCAGGCGTGAGGCGCACCTGGCTGAGCCGAACCGGGCTATTATGGGGACCAACAGCTCGCCCCGGAAACCATCCTCGGCTCTAACCTCGGTGCTGACGGGCACCGCCGGCCGTATGAGTTTTCACGCAGTTGCAGAACCGTAACGACCAGCTGGTGCAAAACTCGCCGGCAGGATCATCGATGATTCACTATTCAGCGAGCCTGAAATGGTATATCGTGATTTCTGTCCGGCCGGATAGCGAGATTGGCGGCCACCGGTCTCCAGAGACACGGTGCGTCACATTTCGTGACGGAGCGTTACATTGGCAGCCGCACGCACCCGCCACAGTCGATACTCGGCTAAATCGAACGCCCTATCTGAACACACACACGGAATCCATCGCCCCCGGTGTGATTTGTTCTTGTGTGCCGGTGTAAACGGGCCTCACCGGCTCCGCGGCTATTAGCCGGCAATGCCGTATAATTACGATCAGCGGCGACGTGATCTTATCTGCCGCGTACTTCATACACGGCTGATGGGTCTGTAGAAATACAGTGAACACCTGAGTCGACCATGTGTCATCAGTGGTTTACATGAGTGTAATCAGTGCGGTACAAGGCCCTCGTTTGTCGACGGTAATTGATTATTCAAACTCATCAATGCGCTGCCAAGCCCAGCCCATCCACACGTCGTCTCTCATTATCATTTCAGAGTGTAACTATACAATCCTGACAGCCGACATGACAGGAGGGACGTGAAGCTCATGTACCCATGCTGAGGTGCGCAGAGCCATACTGACGGATAGCTTCTTGCTTTTTGTGTGTTTATGTGTGCATTACCTAAACATGCTTCAAGCAAGATATTCGAAATGACTGGTATAATCACTTTTCCTGGACAGAGTCGTGCAGACTAGAGCCTCACCGCCTCCTCGCGGCCTCCCCAGCACCCAGTCTCACGGCTCGCGCGCCCCTCCTCCGGCAGATCCGAGCAGCCCGTCGTATGGGCAGACGCTGCCGCCGCTGCTGCCGCTGACGATGCTGTACCCGGGCTGCCTGCTGCACGCCTACCCGCACTACCAGCGCTGGTACTCGTCTGACGCCAAGGCGCCGCTGCTGCCGCCCTCGGCGCCCTACTCGGAGATGGCCAGGCAGTTGGAGGCCGTCCGCCTCTGGGGCTCGCTGGCCAGACGCGAGATGACCAGCCCGGCCAACAACGGTGAGCCCGAAAATGGAGGACCTTCTTCCTATCTGAGCATTTGGGTATACTTATCGTGATACAATTGAAGGGTTGAATGCATGCTTAAATTCCTCTGATGATCACATGAATGCCCTCTATGTTTCACTTAGTACAGCCCGAAAGCACTATATGTACTGACGGCTGCGCACGGCTCGTTCTCTGCAGAGCCGCGGACGCCGACGTGGACGGGCTCGCCGTCCTCGGCCGAGGAGGAGCCGGCCGACGCGCCGCTGAACCTGTCGACCAGCTCGGCGCGGCGGGCCATCTGGTCGCCGGCGGCGGCTGTGGAGCAGGAGGCCGAGCGGCGGCGCTGCTCGTCCGAGCTGAGCCCGCCGCCGGCCAGCGAGCCGGCCAGCCCTCCGGCGGCGGCGCCGCTGGCGGCCTCCTACCCGCCCTACCGGCTGGTGTTGCCCGGCTGGACGGCTGCCGCCGCCGCCGCCGCCGCCGCCCGCCACCTGGGCCGGCCCGTGCCGCCCAGCCGGCTGCCCGCCATGGAAGGCCAGCACATCAGCTGCCCCGCCTGCAAGAGGGCATTGGGCTCGCCTGCCGCGCTGGAGGCGCACGTGAAGCGTTGTGCGGCCACCCTCTCGCCGCGCTCCGTGCCGGGAGGTCAGACCAACACCAAAACAGCGCACGAGAGGTCGTTTGAGGTAAGCACTCCGGAACAGGCTCATGGATAAATGAGGGGGGGGGGGGGATGGATCTGCAATTTTTGGTGGCAAATGGTTGTAACTGATGACAAAGATGTTTAATTCCTTTCCCACGTTTGCTGTAATAGGTGAGTTGCAGTTATTCACGTTATATATGTGTTTATCGGCTCAATACACTAAATACACCCCTCCTGTTTTATTTGCAGTGCAAGGAGTGTAAGAAGACGTTCAAGCGTTCCTCGACGCTGTCAACACATCTTCTAATCCACTCGGACACCCGGCCCTACCCATGTCCGTACTGCAACAAGCGCTTCCACCAGAAGTCGGACATGAAGAAGCACACCTACATCCACACCGGTGAGTCCTGAAGCGGAAAATCGGCCAAATCGCCGACCAAGAAAATTGCACGATTGAGTGGCCATAAACCCACGATTATGCCGCCCTCCTCAGTGTCATGTTGCCACGGCTGATCAGCGGCCCTGTATATCACCGCCAACTGCCTCGATTCACCGAAGCATTATGATGTTACGGTTACACATAAGCCGCTCCAAATTGCTCCCTTTAAATAAAACAGATCATCACTCTTGAACTTTCCCATGCCTTCCAATCTACAATATGGAATCAATTTGTCGTTGATTTATGTATATTCCCAAGGGTGGCGTCCCCTCTCCATAAAAGTTATCGACGAGGAGGCGGCCGCACCCCGCGTCCAAATTGGTTTTATCATGAGTCGCTCTCCGGTTCACGAGTGATTGCCTTCGGGCATGAAATCAGGGCCGTCATTGTGACTGGGGGTGATACGCGTGCGTCTGCTCTGTGCGCTGATAATGGCCCGCTCCGGACAGCCAGATGGCCGCCGATCTGGACAGAGATCAGCGCTCACTGATGGCTGATCAGCTGGGCGATGGACCGGCCGCTCGCCAGCCGACCAGGCGCAATGACGCGTGCCACCAGCGTATAGAGAGCCGGGTCCCATCGCCGCCGCTCCAGCATCGGGGCTCACAAATCACGCGGCCCCTCGGGCCAACGTTCGTTTGAATATTAATCTGATATCGGGCCGGGCGGCCGGCCGGGGCGGGGGCGGGGGCGGGGGCGGCTGAGAGGAACCAGACGCGGCGGCGGCTGACGGCTGAGCTGATGTATGGAGGCGGGGTGTGACCGAGCACTGCCCGCCCGGCTGGACGGGTGCTGCAGGCTGTGTATGAGATGCAACGCCTGTACGATCGATGAGCGCCAAGGCGCTATGGATGCTGGATAGCCATGTGGCCAGGCCGGGAATAAGAGACTGATACAGTGCTGCCGATCGTCAGCTACTGCCAGTAAGCACACATAAGACGGCGCTTAGTGCGGCCAAGAAGTCAGCGAGAGCAGAATTGGGTGGTGTCATATTTCTTTGTGGAACGCATTCCGGGTATAGCCTGTATCCTTACACTAAATCATTTTGCATTGCCGTGGATGAGATATGGTATAAACTAATTGAGCAAACCAGCGCATATATAATTTTTGGTCGTAGCCCTTGGTGCCAAAGCAAACATCGTTTGAAAATGTTTCGAACCACTTCAATCATGAGCGCCATTGCTTTAATAATTCACGGTATTTGAACTCCATAAAGGCCCGATGTCCCGGCGCGAGGCGGCCCACTTCGGGCCGGACAATGGCGCGTCGTGCCGCGCCGGGATCGATCTTGGATTGGATGGGCTCTGTGCACTCTGTGACAGTGTTCAAACACCAAGAGCCATTCTTCCCGGTTAAAAGCAATGATTCTGCAGCGTCGGCATTCAGCTGAGTCATTCAATTTGACCTGTCCATGTTTTGTGAGGCACTATTGCGTTCAGTTGGTCTGGTTTCAGGCTCTTGCCTGACCTCTGTCATACCCCTGTTGTATAGCTCTGTCGTATCCTGTCATGTCCCCTGCCTAGTGTCCAAAGCTTTCCGAGCCCTGTCTGACCCTATGCAGCCCCTTTCTGACCATGAACTTTCTCCCGTTTTCAGGTGAAAAGCCGCACAAATGCTCGGTCTGTGGCAAGGCGTTCTCGCAATCTTCCAACCTGATCACACACATGCGGAAACACACCGGATACAAGCCGTTCGCGTGCGGCCTCTGCGAGAAGGCGTTCCAGCGGAAGGTGGATCTGCGCCGTCACCGGGAGAGCCAGCATCCGGACCTGGCGCACGTGCCGCCGCCGCCGCCGGCGCCGCCGGCGCCGGCCGCCCTGCCGGCCGCGGACTGACGGGCCGGGCCGCCGCCGTTGCCGCCGGCAGTCTGAGCGCCCCTGAGCAGCGGACCGGCGTGACGCTGCGGCAGCTCAGCAGCTATTGATTGTTCTCACTGACCGATGTAACCCGAATCTCCGCCAAATGGACCGCATTTGAGCCGGCGACGTCGACTTCAAAGCAGCCCGTATGACCATTACTTACGTCAACAAATTAAAAATCTTCGACCGTCTCGCTGAATAGCGGCGCCCTCTTCAGAGTGCCGCGCTCAAACAAAGCACTTAGGCGGCGTTTTCCATTGATTTCGGCGGCGCCGGCCGGTAGCGGAGGTGACATTGTTGTCCGTAGTGTGCACACAGAGTTGTTCAAACATTTAACGAATTCATTGCGTCTGTATCAGCGTCGATGAGCGGCTGCGAGGGTCCGTTTGACACGGCACCAGCAAACGGCAGTCGGACACAAAACGGCCGCCCCCGGCCGGCCGAGCGGGGACGGTGCGTGCGGGGGGAGTGATAGACGGCATCGCACGGACTAATGATTCGAGCCAACGGCCACCATTGAGCTAAATGGACGGGAGCGCACGGCCAATTATTGAGCTTTCTAGTCAGCTTGTATATAAAAAGTTATAGGGGAAGAGTGACTGGAACGCTTGTGATTCAAAAATCGGATAAATGTGCGGCTTTCAGGTGATTTTGGAGCTAAGTGCTCGTATCTTGCGTTGGCATGACTTGTTTGGGAAGTAGAGCTCATGGGTGTGATTGTGTAACCGTCGGACAATTCTGTGTATTGTTAGAACTGTTTTAACTAGAATGCATACAGGGATGCATTGACGTTCGCAAATAGCTGTTGTCCGGGGAAACATTCCGGTCCGACTGTACGCAATTTGTGTTTTATCTTTTTGTTTTATCTTTTCTGTAAAGGCACTTTTAGTTTTGATACTTGATCAGACTCAGCGGCACTTTTAACATGCTGACTGTTGCAGCAGTGCAGTGCAGTTTATTCGAATGTTCGGACAGATAAGAGAGAGCTAATCTCGCTGAAATTGTTCAGTCGTTTACTGAAACGATGTTCGTGGGGCAACGCTATGTCATATAGCCAGGATCGCATCTTTGTCTTCTGGTTCAGGAGTTCAGATCTTGTTATCTTGCCAGCGTTTCAAGTGCACAAATTTCATGATAGGTACTTTTACTACTACTACTGTATTCCTCTGGTGCGCGTTAAAGGGGATTTCAAGCACTGTACAAACTTGCACACGAAACTGGTAACTCGTACACTCTTCGTGCCTTTTTCAGCGCCATCCAGCGACTCTAGTTAGAGCCATTATCAGATTTTAGCCGCATATTATCGGTGTTTGGGCGCTGGCGGGGCGCCGTGTGTGTACGGATGTGGACTTTGTTGACGGGCGCCGGCTCTGCGGGGCGCCGGCGCCCTCCGGCGCCCCCGCCGAGCGAGCTGTGATGCCACCAGACCGTGTGACCAGGCAGCACTGCGGTGGCGTTCGTTGCATGTTACTCGCGTCCTTAAATAAATTGCTGTTATCATATGAGGCACTCGGTGTTTTATCGTGTTCTTTTGGGTACACGAAGGGCTGATTGCGAAAAAAAATCGCAGCCGAAGAAGTGAAGAAGCTGACAAAGACGGGTGACTGGCAGAAAGTATTCCCGTGTGGTTTTGAGGTTTAAATAATGTGTTTACATTGGCAATCCCTTACACTTGCCATCCCAGAAACATCACGGGAAGTTATCAGGGTCAATGGTATCGTTTTACGCTTTCGGCCTAAACTCGTTTAAATCGGCTCCAGATTCCCAGGGAATATAAATAATAACCTTGCGCCGTCTCCAAAAAGTTTTTGTTACATTGAAAACGATCGTTCAATTACAGACGTTATAAGTTTACATAATTGTTAAAGGAAAAAGTAAACTTCAAGCCTATCTAAATAACGCCAAACCGACTAGTATTCAAACTGTACCTAATCTGACATACCTATATGTCATTTGACAAGTTTGCAAAACAGATGCATTCGAGATATTCCGACGTGAAATGACTTAGCTGTATTAGATATAATAAACATGCCTTCCTAGAGAAGGTAATTAGTGGGTTACCCTTTCTTCAGGTGTAAAGCTTTAATAAATAATACCTGATAAGAGATATTAACCTTACTCTCATATTAGCCAAAAGATATAAAATTTCAAAAAGACAAAATACAGTTTCGGGAGCTTTCGGCTTTGCGCCTTTATCAACCGTTATCATAACGGTTGATATAACCGTTATCATAACCGTTATCATAACGGTTGATAAAGGCGCAAAGCCGAAAGCTCCCGAAACTGTATTTTGTCTTTTTGAAATTTTATATCTTTTGGCTAATATGAGAGTAAGGTCAATATCTCTTATTATATTCATAATGTCTCTCAAAACTGTGCTAAAAACCATTCAAATAATACCTACCTAATATAAAATAAACGGCAAAGGTGGTTCAATCGGGCCATGTGATGGCATCAAAAAATGAATAGTTGAGCAGTGCTGGTGATGGCTTTTGACGAAATGTAAGACGTTTTATTAGTTTGTTTTCGTTTATGTACCTACAAATGATACAAACTTTGGTTTATTTATTTCAATATTTTCCCCTATGCCCGAAATTTATCATTTACCTTCTATCTTCGTCTTTAGAAACGCAACGCTATTATGCTTCACAAGACATCACAGATTTTTCAATCTATTCAAACATTGTCCAGTCGTTCCGCAGAAGTCGCTCAAAATAGCCGATCGTGGTGCTTTTCTCCTGTCACTCGAATTTCTCTCTTCCTCTCTCTCTCTCTCTCTCTCTCTCTCTCTCTCTCTCTCTCTCTCTCTCTCTCTCTCTCTCTCTCTCTCTCTCTCTCTCTCTCTCTCTCTCTCTCTCTCTCTCCCTCTCTCTCATCGCCTCCATCCCTGTGTCAAATTGGCGTCGGCCGAGCGGCGCGTGGCGGGCGGCCCGCAGCGCGCGTGCGCCTGATTAGAGAGGTCAGCCGCCCGTGACCGCACGCGCCGCCCCCCTCCCCTCCCCGCCGGCTCCTTTGACGCCGCCGCTCCGCTCGGCCGCTCGGCCACAACAATGGCGGCCGAGCGCAGGAGCCGCCGCTTCTGCTGCGGCTGACGAGCGCTGACTGCTGAGACATCCCTGGATCGAGAGACACTAGACAGCGTGCGAAGTGGGATATGGGCAGAGGAGCGAACGAGGACTGAAATTGAAGCAAGTGATGCGTCTGGAAACGAGGTTAGGATATTAGGCGGGTGCTCTACCTGTACCTAATAAATAGACTGTTCCAGTACGTAATTTTATCGTGTGAGATTGAGTTCGGACTGTGTTAAGCTTTGGTTTCCAGCTATCAATTATTAAAAGTTATGAGTGTTATATTGGTCGACTTAGTGATTACCCGGTGCAGGAGAGGCGATGCAATGTAAAAAGTAAATTAGAACAGCTAGAGGAGAGAGTGTTTCAAGGCAAGCACTGACCTGTAAAATATCGATTCAGTCACACGATTACATGGTGCGTTTTATAAATGAGCGCATCAAATAAAGCCAAAGTAATGCAAACGTAAATATCAACAATGCACAAGCATGTAGCATTTATCCTCATTATCGCTGTACAGGGAAGAGGCAACCGTTCAGCGCATTTTCTCCTTTTTTCATTGGCAATAAGAACAATTACAGGAGACCTTTGTCAAGTGATCATGCAAACGAACATTCAATATCAGCTGAATTTATATTTCAACGTTCGATTTGCATACGATAAACATAAGTCGTTTGCAGGGCACTAGGTCGTTCGTATGAAAGCGTGCTCATAAATGTAAGCCACGGACCGCGATCGAAGACACTTCTGAAGCCTTCTTGCTGCTGTACTACTACCAATACATTCTCGCCGTCGGCGTTTCTTTTGCAGGGCAGGTGGTCCGGGAGTGGGAGCCTGGTGTGCTGGGGCAGGTCCGGGAGTGGGAGCAGTGTGCTGTTCGGGCTGCGGGACAGGCGCTGTGTGACATGTCCCGGGAGCCATGTGGTTACCGGTGCCGGTGAGCCGCTCTAATGAGTCATCATTAGCCACCGTTTGGCCACATATTGACAGCCGCCGAGCGGTCGCCGGGTTGCGGCAGGCTGCTCCACACCGGCACCTGGACCCTCTCCCGTCAGTGGCCGCCGCGCCGCGCCGCCGGCCTCCCACGAGAGGGCGACGGGCATCAGGTGTCGGTCGGCGCGCCGCCGCCGCCAGCGGCGTCCCTCGCCGCCCCGGGTCGCCCAGAGCAGGTGCTACGTGCGCCATTAATGTCACATAACCTCATTACATGTAATTGTTCCCATTACGGCGCAGCTAAGCGCGCGTAAACGACGCAGCGCAGATGACTCGAAGGCAGCGATTACGACAGAGTAGAGTAATTGGGATTTTGTGGGTTTAGTCGCGCGACGTACGCACACTGCACAGCGTCGCCTCCGTTACGCTCCGGCTCCCGGTCCGTCGGGACGCAGCTAGCTCCCGGACCGGTGACGGGGCGCACGTCACGTCCAGGGCTGCCGGCGGCCGTGGGCCGTGGGCGGTGGGCTGCGGGCGGCTGAGGCGGCAGGCGGCAGGCGCCGCTGTAGCGCCGGCGGCACTTCTGAGGAGCTCACTTCCGATGGTGATGTCCGGTGCACGCGCAGAGACGACCGGCGAGTCCCGGCTGACGGCACGAAGGAACTGGGCTGAATGTTTTGATGGGTACAGATCAGAGTGGAGTGGAGTGGACCTCTAAAGACGTGCTCTGCTCGCCACTGCTTACATGTATGTCAGTCTAATTTGGTGTGACATGTTTCTTTGTATTGTTTGTCTGCTTCATTTACCGAAACACTGCAATATTTTCAGCATTACCTACGTACAATAAGGGTACGGACAATAAGGGTGATGCTATTGCATTTGGTTATTCAACCGTAAAGTATTATCTGACACGCTTTGCAAATGAAGCAATTTGTTGAATCAAACGACCACCCGAAAATGCCCTCTCCGGTGTCACTGGCCACAGGTTTGGAGAAATACTGCAACGCATTTCCACTCACCCTGAGCCTATTAAACTAATCGGCAATAGCCGCATTCAAATACCACGGGATAGCGCTTAAGCTTTACAAATTAATTACTCTGGCTTAAACAACACAACGGCTGGCAGCATTTTCGGAATGAAATTAGCTTTATGTGTGGCCGAAGGCCGATACAGCTTGATTAGGTAATACTGACTGAGCCTGTCGGCCTGGGTGGGTGAACTCGCCCTGGCGCTGCAGTATGTAGGTATGTATGTACGATGGATGGCCGGGCGCCGCGCCGCTGACCTAATTTGGATCGTCCACTGAGTGGGAGTAGCATGCATTACCCGTAATGAGTCCCCGACCATCAACTATCGCCTCAACAAAAACCGATCGCTTCGTTATTGCAATGGCCCCAAAAACCGCGCCGCAGTGGCCGGGACTCACAAACAGGCACGCAGAATACACTTCTGGCGCAATTACGGCTAATTGTGCTCCAATCAATAGCTCGGCACCTCGTGCAGTGGTGGTGGCTTTCAGCACCGCGCTCACTCTGTGAGTAGTGGGGGGGGGGGGGAGACATTGGCGCCCCGGGAGCCCGGCGACAATCGGCGCAATGAATGTTTTATACTCGGTTATTCATGAAAAACGGATTGTTCTGCCGTCGGACGAGGCATCGGGGAGAAGCCGCTCGGTCGATCGACGGCGCCGATAAATAGCGGCGCCGGCTAATCACCGGCCGCTAAGGGATTTCGGCATGATTAGGGATTTCTGATAATAATTAAAGCTGTAAATTATTGATGAGAGTGTGATGCGATCGCCACCGGCGTAGCGGGAAATGCTGATTCTGTCTCTCCCTGAAGAGACGGAATCTCGTAAATGGATTTGTTTGTGACTATTGCAGCAATCCGCCCAAGTGGATTGCAAAACATCACATTAACGCCAAGTGTTTCACGTTGATACTTGTTGCCTTCAGTGTGCATTATCTACACGTGAAGCGGTTTTCTGCATCCCACGGGCAAAAAGTGAGACAACGTATGTCAGTTTCGGTCTCAACCGCCCTCTCTCGCCTCCTCTGGCCAGATCTCACTTGCAGGAGGGGATGGGGAGGTGACAACACTGTCACCACACCGCGTCCTCCTGAGCTCTGACGCCCTCACGGCACGCCCTCAGTGTCCTTAGCATGCCGTCCCACCACGCCCCCCGAGTCCCCGGCGATGTTACCATCAGCGATCCGAGGCGACTCATTAGCGTGCCTTGTTTGCCTGCTGACTGGATTGGACGCGGCACCTCTGGGAGCCGGCCGAATCCCCGGCAATCTCCCGGGCGCTGTACCAGGGGGCGCACCGCCAGCGGTAGCGGTAGCGGAATAGGCACATACCGACACACGCAATGTGAGCGACAGCAACTGTTACAGTGATGGCAGGCAGAGGCTATAGATGACGTAAAACAACGACGTAGGCGCTACTTCGGAAAATAAATTCAAAGTTGATACCTTCAGGTAATTTATTACTTCTTCACACTG